ATTTGTAAAAGTTACGAATGAACATATCATTTAGTTGTATTTATATAATATTGTTGTAAATGCTAAAAAAATTAATTATGGTACGGAACCGAACATAACCGAATATAATCGAACGGAACCGAACTCGAACGGTTCCATAATTATATTTGAACCCGACTGTTCCATTTATTAAATATCCAAAAATTTTGGTTCGGTTCGGATATCTTCAGAACCGAATCGAACCGGACCGGACCGGACCGGACCACGTCCCGCCCCATCGTGAACTCTGTTAGTAAGGTGTTCGTTTGTTTTGGTCTTGAAATCTTATTATTATTATTGGGTAATTTGTTGAAGAAAAAGAGGGATTTCGAAAAAGTTTTTGAGTTCATAGCCATGATTTTTCAACATTTTAACTTTCCTTTTTATGTTGTTTTTGCTTTAACATTATATTAGTTCGGGTTTTCAATCACATCTAATTGTTTTGTTCTTCCTCTAACAGAACTGTTTTTCCTTTTTTTTTTTGTTGAAAATCTGCAAATTAATAAGAACAAATAGTTTTCTAATTAATACAATTCGAAGCCAGAGCAGTAAGAGAGAATCTTTCCAAACATTTGAGAACAGTCACACAAGGTAATACTATAATAGTATGGATGAATGAAAGAAATTGAACAAACGAGGTCTCGGGAAAAAGACATGAATCCCAATTTCATTGCCTTTTTAAAATTTTAAACTGGGTCATTGAAAAAAAACTACTGCTGCAAATTGCTATAGTTAGCGCACATTGTAAGTTTTAGTAGGATTCTAATAAGATACTGGAAAGAACTTATGGCCTTGTAGGGTTAAGTATTATCAAATATTCTGCTCATGAAATGTTGGATCTGGAATGCTATTGCTGCAGAATTAAATGGATTTTACTTTGAAAGGTACCGTGTCATTTTAGACATTACAAGACTTTAGGATAATGGGTGGGAAATCAAGAAAAGGTAGGAAGGACGAGCGAGTAAAATGTTTGAATGGTCACTGAACTTTAACATGGTCACGACTTACACACTGAACTTCAAATTGCCT